GCTAAGACGTCACCTTTCTTTCGGATATTAAACAGGTTGTGACGCACGCGCCAGGTGCACAGGCGGAGACGAAGGAGAGAGAGAGAGAGAGAGAGAGAGAGAGAGAGAGAGAGAGAGAGAGAGAGAGATGGACACACACAGAGGCAGCAGCTGAACGTGGGAATCTCCGACAGAATGAACAAAAGTGAAGACCAGCGACCTGGGCCTAGGCCGAAGTCATAGACCAGCTCAGGTCCAGGTAGTGGGAAAACCAACGGTACCGGACCAGGATCAGGCTGACGACCTGAAACTGGTCCGGCCTAGCTGCCAGGCCTCAGGTGCACCGCTACACAGGTACTAACTAATATCGCATAAGGTGGTAGGCAGTGCTAATAGGTGGTAAGCAGTGGTAATATGTCTGTCTACAGTTTGTAGGCAGTTTTGAGACGAGAGCCGATAAGCCTCCACTTCTCTTCTTTTCCACAGTACGTCGCATCTTCAAACAGCTCACAGACAGGAGAGAATGGCCAACTCCTCTGCCCGGATGTCGTCTCCCAAGCTGCAAGTCCAGCCGCCCACATAAACAGACTTCATCTGCGCATAGCTCCAGTCTCCAGAGACCGCTGCGTTTTAACCAATTTTTTTTCAACCACCCCAAGGCAGAATCAAGCTGCAAGTGCACCCACAAAAACAGACTTCATCTGCACATGGCCCAGAGAGAGACAAAATGACCACAAAGCATGTACGCAGCGCCACACAATAAGAGATGTGTCAGCTACTCCCGGCCTTCCTCTGCGAGACCTTCCTTTACTCCCAGACACTCAATTGTCCCCCCCCCCTCTCTCTCTCACTCTCTCTCTCCCTCTCTCTCTGTGCCGCCCCCCCCTCTCCCTCCCCCTCCCCTCACCATGTGGTGGGAGTTGGGCAGAGTCAGGGGGAGGCAAAAGGAGGTACTAATGAGAGGCGCGTAGGGGGGTTGGGAGGAGACGGGGCAAAGGAGGTATTGTCCTCTCTCTCTCTCTCTCTCACTCTCTCTCTCTCTCTCTGTGGACACCACCGGTCGTGCGAGGACCAAAGATAGTTCCAGCAAAAAAAAAAGAAAAAAAGAAAATCCGAAAATTTTGAAAACAAATTATGTTATGCATAAAAATAAACTGAAGAACTCTTGCCTCAGGGTCACATCGAAATTCTTCACCTAATTTAAAATAAAAAATCAATTCCCGGCCGGGAATCAAAATTCTTTACCTAATTTAAAATAAAAAATCAATTCCCGGCCGGGCAACTGGTCCCCGGCCACTCTGGTAGCCTAGCTACTAATACCAATCTCTTAAATTCGTTATCTGTCACGAAGGGACACCCAACCTCTTTTTTCCCAAATAATGGGGGGAGAAAAAAAAAGCCGAAGCAGGAGCGAGAAGGAAGGATAACAAGAAGACGAGAACACATGTTTTTTTTCCTTCCCCCCCCCCCCCAGTTTACGGACCCAGTGCCCACAGCAGTAGATAAAGAAACAGAACAGCAGTGAACACGCAGGGACCATCCAGTCCCAGATCTGCACCATGAGACGGAACTTGTCCCATTTTCTTTCTTTTGAAACCAGCAGCTCAGCTCACACGAGCCCAAGTTGACGAAGCTATCTTCCAAGGATCGCCAGAACGTTTTTTCCCTTCCATATTCACTATCGTCCCCGGCCAGAAGCCTCATGGGCTTACTGCTTAAGCCGGTAAGATGAACCGAAAAATCAACTCAGTCATCGGAGAGAAGTCGACTCTACCGAAGTTACACTTTGACAAAGTACAAAGTACGAAGTACGAAGTACAAAGTACAAAGTTCGTACTTCGTACTTTGAAGTACACGCACAAAGCACAAAGCACAGAGTACAAAGTACAAAGCACAAGTACGAAGTACAAAGAACAATCGATTACAATTTCAAAGCAGTTATCACAACAGGTAATGGATACCGCATTTCGATTGTTCTTTGTACTTTGTCATCCTTCCGCTAACCCGCCCAACGCCGCATTTCGACAACAGCCACGTGGTCTTCCGCAGTGGGGAATTCACCGGACCCTCCTCCAAACACTTTGCCATCCTTCCGCTAACCCACTTCCGTCTCTAGTCATACTAACACCCCCAAATGCTAGTAGTTGGTAGTTGTAGGTCCCGACTTGCAGCCGCTTAAAACCGGTAAGGGCACAGCTTAGCTTCGGGCGAACTGCTGTTTTAAACCACTGCAGCTAAAGTCGTGCCCGTTAATGCGCCACAGTTTTAGGAAACATACGAGCCACTACAGGAGCGACCAATTTCATCTGACTAGAAACGTTTCTACTCTATTTTTTCCGCGGCTGATAGCTGGGCCAAGTACTGGTGGTTTAATGCACTTTTCCCTCAGGACACCACCTTTTTTGTACTCATCATTATTATTTTCTTTTCATGTGCTGTTTTGGTTCTCTATTTGACGGACTTGTATGCAGTCATTTCTCCAACTTCGTTCTTTCATGTATTTTATAATGAATGAACATTCTTTTTTATATCTTACTCTATAGTAAATAATTGAATGATCATTTTCAATTATTTACCATTATTTATATTTCGTATTATTAACGAACAATTCAAGCCTGTTTTGTAGTCATTGCTCCCTGCACCCCCCGCCCCCACTCCCTCCCTCTATTCCTCCTATCGGATCATCCCTCATGTTTCATT